TCTATCTTAATTGGAATACAGACTTTTGTTGCATTAAATTCCTGATGAGGAGTCTGTATGTTGTTTTAAAACAGCAACACTGAACTGCTCATTTTAGTTGACGGTTCAACTTAGAAGTCGTGTAATTACTGTAATGTGGTACAATTTAGGATTATTTAGCGTTCAAGTGATATTTGACCCACTTGTGCTGAATCCTGTCGTCGCATTTGGGAAGAATAAAGATTATATCTGGGCCACGAGGAGCCAAATGCATCTTATCAACATTTCAATCATTTGGCTGCTTTATAACTGAAACGTCTGGACAGAGACGCTGAATGACACCATTAAAGCTGAATTAGTTAAATAGAAAACTCTCGTCGTCGTTTCTTCCTCTGCTTCTCTTCTCTGTGAGCTGTTTATCATTCGGATCAGTCGAGCGGTCTGTCGAAGAGCCACAAAGAAAATGTCACATCATCCCGGAAGCACGAGAACCAGCGATAATCTTCTCATCGACGCCGGCGACGCTTCCACGTTCTCGCTCGTCTCTCACCGCTCCAGAAATATCTGCTTTTGTTCTAAAATTACGCTCGACTTTGTGACCGCTATCACATCTTCAACAGCTGCTGCTGCCTTCCATGTCTATATTAGAAACACACACGGCTGATATTTGAACGCTGATTAAATGAGACAGGAAGTGATAAAAACAACTTAAGCGAAGCCAAACTCCATCGAGATGAACATGAAAGTCTTTTTTTGTGGGGAAGACAATTTTGGATGGTTTTAATCCAACTGGCCCTCGAGGATCGATCAGAGTCGACGGCTGCTTCCCGCTCTGATCAGAAAATAGAAGCTGAACAAACTCACGCCGGTTCAATCTGTCTCCACCAGCATAGATTATAACCGAGTATTTTTAATGTTTTGTGGTCAGTTTAGCTCCTGGTTTCGCTCAGTTTGACCGGTCAGTTAACCCTAAACCTGTCTTCAACAGACATGATAGCTGGACACATGAACTGTTTTCTTAACTGCAATGTAAAGTCCTGCAGCTCTATAAGGAAAACAAAAACGATGAAGAAGGAGAATGAACGCATTCATATTTCTCAAAATACCATAAATTGCAAAAAATTAAAAAAAGAGTAATTAGTCGTTACAAAATCATCTAAAAAGCAGAACATGAACGTTTCTCAAAGTTCCCACACGTGTTTCCACTACTGGGGAAAAATAGTCTCTCTACATGGTCCAGATATTTTATTACTTGCATTTGTTTCTGTACTTTCCTTGTGTGTAAAAACACTTCCTGCAGTTCAGCCGAGAGGTCGCTAAACATTTTATTTAATTTTAATTTGTGTCTTTATTTATTTATTTATTACACAATCTGGTTCCAGAAAAAGTTTTTTTTTAAAATTATTTGTAATTTTATTTATTTATTTATTTTTACATAATCTAAAAGTATTTTTTATTATTATTTGTAATTTTATTTTTATTTATTTATTTATTTTACACAATCTGGTTACAGAAAAGAAGTGTATTTTTTAGCAGTAGATTTGATGCTGATTTTTCGGTTAGATTTGCTTGTTTTTTTTTTAAAATAACACAATTCGACAACATTATCAGGTCTCGCATCACGAGGAAGTTGAAAATCTGACAGTTCTCTCTGTTTTTAGAGGGGAAAAAAAACAGTGTCTCTGCATGGTCCAGATGTTTTATTACTTGAATGTGTTTCTGTACTTTGTGTAGAAACACTGCCTGCAGTTCAGCCGAGAGGTCGACAGATATCTGTGGTTGCAGATGATTTAGATTTTTGGTTGCTTCAAGAAGCGCAGAATTTTGATTATTTTTTTACATTAAAAAAGCAGATTTTTGAAGCAATTTTTTAACAGACGAGTAAATTTGACGCCGATGTTTCGCTTAGATTTGGTTGTTTTTATTATTGCATGATTAGACGACATAACCAGGTCAAGGATAAGGAGGAGGTCTGTTTCTACAGCTTCTTACTCTGATAAATGGTCTTATTATGGCAGTTTTTTAAAAAGATAATAAGCTTTTCAAAGTAAAATAATCCTCTGTAATCTTTTAATAACACAAAACTCTTCTTGAACTTCCTGTTCCCTCGTTTGGGGCTCAGGAGGGTTAACGAACCTGTAACTTGAATTAACCAGCTTCCCTCCCCTTCCTGTGTCGTGTCCTGCTTTGTGCTGCTCCGAGTTTGATTTTTTATTTTCAATCTATTTTTAAAGCACCAGTGCCGACCTTGCTGAAGGGATTTCATGTTGGCCGACCTGCAGGCGGCTCATTGTTGCCTCCGTCTGTTTGCTGTGATGACGTAACGACGTGCACGGCTGCAAATAAAGCGTGCACGGGCCTGAGCGGGATGGTGGTGATGAGCTTATTACTGCAGGAGTCGCTGGGAGTAAATCTGGATGTGTGAACGCAGCCCTCTGATTGTGCTGCTTTTATTACCTCGGCTTGCACCTGGTTCGGCTCCGGCTGACTAAAATAAATCCTGAAAGAAAAATGGAAGTAAGGGCCGAGCGAGCTGGAGCTCTCCCACCGTTATCGACGCTCTGCTGCTGCTGCTGCTGCTGCTGTGCGGGTGTGAGACGGATCACACGGGCTTTCAAATCTCTCTGGCAGCTTTACTTAAATACCCCCCGACACTAAATCCTCGCTGACCGACCGCCAGATTAAACGCTGTTCATCCTGCACGGGGCGAGCAGCGCCGAGGACGGCCCGTCCACACCTTTGACATTGACTGACGGACGCTGCACAGATCGAGCTGCGGAGGCCTCGGACTGAGCAGCACAGCGGCGCTCCGGGTCGCCCAGCAGGCGTCTTACATCACCG